ACCGCTTGGGATACGAAGTACTTCGATATGGAAAGGGAGGCCTTCTTCGCGCTCTTGGAAGCGGCCAATTATCTGCACATTGAAGGTATGCATTGTGTGGTCAATGTCTTCATGTAATGAATGGTTTATCACCTAATGTCAGGTCTGCTGAAGACTGGCTGCAAAATGGCGGCCAAACAGGTGGACGACAAGTCTGCCGAAGACGTGCAGAAGATATGGGGCATTGAGTGCGATCTGAGCCCCGAAACGGTGCAGCGCCTCAAGAAGGAGAACGCGTGGGCGGAGAAGGAGAAGTGAACCACCATTTCATAGAAAGGCTGTCCATTGCATTGATTTAGTGGTCAATGAGACGGTGATTATACGAAACTGTGATTATACTTAATATATATTATAAGTCATTCCTAACTAATTCTCACATTTTTTCAATTTAATTGAACTGTATTTGCCTTAATTATAAGAATACCGGTATTACTGTAAATGTCTAATGAACTGATAACTGAACGCAAAACGTTTAATCAAATATTTTTGTACCGGTATGTTTTGAATTTTATACGACAATAAAAATTTAATTAATTTATTATCATAGACTATTTGTTGCTTATTTTCACCAAAATACTCGTAAAACTATTGCTGAATAAATTATAAGAGAGACTAATAAGTTGTCATCCATTATACGGTACAGTGTTTCAGTCAATTTGTGAAAACTACAGAATATTCTCTAATACTGTACACAACTTATAAATTGATTTTTACTATATTATAAAGTTAAATTAAACCGAGTATACTATAAAATATTTACTTAAAAATCAAAATTATATACAGGTATATGTAAAAGACTTATTAATTTTTAACTTTAAATTTACGGTAGGACTGACAGGTTTACGAGAGTATTATTTGGAGTGATTTACAACGAAAATTATCAATAATTGTTAATATTTATTGTTTGAATAGATTTATAAAAACATTTACTATATAATGTTATATAATGTGAATAATAGACAAAAATTTTAGTAATAATTGATTTAATTATAAAATAAGTTATAACGTCATGTATTTTACAGTTTCGTGTCCTGAAGATTATCATATTTAGTAATTTTCTCATTTTCAATGACATTATCTATCGGCGCTACCCACCCGTCCTCCAGGTTTATCACATTGTGATTACGTTTCTCATGGATTTCATCTCTTAATATATTAGACGCGGAATTCAGATCAAAGCCATTGATTGTAGCCGTTTGGCGACGATTGGCGTTATTGAGTTGAATCTGTAATTGAATACTACATTCAATGAGTTGTAGGAATTCAACGCTTTCCACATCAAAACACTTGTTATTCATCGATACGCGTAATCCGATAGTAATCATAGGCTATAGTATGTTATGAATGGCAGACCTGATTCATATCAACGCTCTTTCGTTTGGCACACGAGCAGATGATGGCCAGACATAGCAGTACAGTGCATATGAACATGACCAGGGTGAATATGAACACCAGTAACTCGAATTTGGCCAACCGGTGCGAACTCGTCTCCAACGGCTTCACCACTATTGTGCCCATATTTGTCTGGAGGCTCAGCACTTCCATTCCCATCTGACACATACATCATAATTACCACACTTATCAATGACATTATCTATCGGCGCTACCCACCCGTCCTCCAGGTTTATCACATTGTGATTACGTTTCTCATGGATTTCATCTCTTAATATATTAGACGCGGAATTCAGATCAAAGCCATTGATTGTAGACGTTTGGCGACGATTGGCGTTATTGAGTTGAATCTGTAATTGAATACTACATTCAATGAGTTGTAGGAATTCAACGCTTTCCACATCAAAACACTTGTTATTCATCGATACTTGTAATCCGATAGTAATCATAGGCTATAGTATGTTAGGAATGGCAGACCTGATTCATATCAACGCTCTTTCGTTTGGCACACGAGCAGATGATGGCCAGACATAGCAGTACAGTGCATATGAACATGACCAGGGTGAATATGAACACGAGTAACTCGAATTTGGCCAACCGGTGCGAACTCGTCTCCAACGGCTTCACCACTATTGTGCCCATATTTGTCTGGAGGCTCAGCACTTCCATTCCCATCTGACACATACATTATAATTACCATACTTTCCACTAATAATACTTATAATTCAATCAAATTCTTACCAATTCTTCCAAAGGTTTTGTTGAATTCTTGAGCGCCTCCACAATCATTGGTCCTCCGAATACGTGATAACTATTGGCTAATGAGATAAAATACATTAATTTCATAATTGAGTGTTTAATTGAGAAGTTTCTTACAGTTATTTTCATTGGAGTCGTTGATAAAAAAGCTAATGAGGAGGTGATTGTTCATTACAATGGGTGAGGGGGAGACATAGATTACCCGGTCGATTGAACACCAATTCCTTTCGGAATCGATGCAACTACAGGTAAAGTTACGGAACTTCTGGTCAAATATGGTTACCCATCGATAGATCTTT